AAAGAAATAATAATATTATTAGGTGTTGGAATTAATTCGTAGCGTTTTACAAGTGATGGGAAGTACTTTCATTAATGTATTTTTTAATGCTCATGTGAAATAAATAACATTCTTTCATTAAAAAACGCTACGAATTAATTCCAACACCTAATATTATATAAATAATATAAAATAATGTTATTAGAGAAACAGTTATCTTTCATTCTTTAGCCTTTCAAAATTTTTTATCAGTTAGAAATTAAATAAAATCAAACATCAATAAACAGATCACTTTATATAATTCTTTTATAGACTAAATCTCTCTTTAAAGTAGTAATCAACGTGTCATCGATTTACCAATCAGAGGACAATGTTGAAATGTTAAGTTTATATCTCCAGGTACATCTAGAACAGAAACGGAACGCTCATTAGGATGCGCAACGGGCTACCATAGAAGAATCTAATTGCTGATGGTCCGATTTCTTCCGCAGAAAATGTCGTGACGCCTGCGTCGTCTTTCGCCGACAACGGGGGTGGATCGGGGCTAAAGAACGTGAACAGGTAGCAAACAGGGACAACGTTACTAGAAGAGGAAGAAACGATTATGGTTACACCGGCGGGGGTGGAAAAGACAAAATGGACGGCAACCAATAGAACGCTGGGACAAAATGGCCGTCGGTGAATTTAATCAATACCGTCCTCCGTTGTAGGTGGAGGACAGGACGAGACCCAGAAAGGGCCAGGATCGTAACTAGTGTACCACGCGTACTTCTCTCACTGACATCGGTATATTTTGCGTTTCGTGTAGGCGTGTAAATCTTCTATGTGGGTGCAACCTATATAACATGACCTATGAGAACTTACTATTCTTGCAATACCGTGTCAATGTTTCACGTTACAACAAACAAATCGAAATCAGAATTTATACGAGTATCAAAACAGATTTTTAAATAAGAGTTTCTAATTAAGGAATATATTATAAAGTATATGAAAAATCCCATACATACATTTATACCAAAATTGTAAAACTTTATATTAATATTTTAATAATTGCATTTTTGTATCTAATTAATTATTCCTTTCTTTTGAAATAATGATATGATGTAAAAGTATCGATTATATGCCGATAAAACACAATTACCGCTAAATGTAATTATTCCAAATATGATAAGTAAATTATGTGACATGATTAAATTATCGCGCGCCCCGAATTAATTCCAATAATAATTTCATTCCATTTATCTTTATAATTTATTAAAATAACATTATTTTCAATCTTTTAAGTTCTTTAACAAACAAATAATTCAATTAAAATCTAATACGTTAAATTTGCTCTGACTGATTACATATGTTATCAACTGGAGATTGTATACTTATAAAATTAATCTTACTGAACCATAACATTATCGTTATTAAATCGGATTTCAATTAAATAGTCACATATATGAATTCCTATAGTCGTAGTGGAAGACAGTAGTTATGTCTGAAACAATGTCGCTGTTCACTAGCTTGGTCGTCATGATGTATTAACAAGAAGGAGCATTATCGCCGCTTGAAAAGCTTTAGCATGAAGTTTCTACAAGCAGCAACTATCAACTCGAGGTGACTGTTTTAAAGAGGGGATCCAAGTTGTTTCACACTATAGCTGTGTGTGGCAGGGAAAGGAGTAGGTCGCCGATTTAATGGAACCACGTAGTCGGACAGCATCGATCCCATATCCACCTTTCATCCTTAAAAGAGAGCAACTCAACCACAAAAATGTTCTGACAATCTTTCCATTCTTCATCTCTTGAGAAACTAAAATCGAATTGACATTTCATATTACATTCGGAAAAGAATTCGTCTAAACGTCTATATAATACCATTAAAAATTTGTTATATAACATTAATTTACTGTGATACCTCTATCTCGTTTTTCCTTTATCTCTTCTGAGAGATTTCTAGAGATTTCTCATATTAAATGTAACATATTTTGTTAAACATTTCATAGTAAGTACATTTTTATTGGGTCTTTAAAAAGTTTCAATATCTTCGATAATTAATCATTGGCAATTTTTATAAAATTTATTTCTTGCCAAAAGTTAAATTGCTATGTTATAATTAATAACTATTTATGCTCCTTTTTGCATTATTTTTTACATGTGAATTTCATGATGCACAACACATTTGTACGTGCATTTAATTTCACAATTTATTTATTCACAAATTTATTACGATATCGTCAAACACAAGAACTTTTTTTGTAGACATATTAAATATAAAGGGCAAAGAATAAAATAAAGAACTGGAAATATAAATTAAAATTTTGTATAAAATATAATATTGTTTACAATTTTTTAATTGTGCATATATTTTTTTTCAGTTACTTCTTACTAAAAAATTCACGTCACTTAATTCATCTGAAAAAAAATCAAACAGGCAAGTGGAGATCACGTTTAATTTATCTGATTCAAATGTAAAAACTGTCTACTTTTAATAATTTATTTATTCTTGATTTATTATTCCAATGATATCATCAAAAATCAATGTATGTTTTTTGATATAATAATAATATAGTTGTATATATAATAATAGCTGTATTGCTATTTTATTGATAATAGAATATATATGTTTTTCTGTACATTTAAAAAATATAATTCGTTTATTCTATTAAATACTTATTTCTATTATTTGGCAAAATATTTATATCTCGTCTTTGCTCTTAAAGCTACAATTTTAATTACTGTACGTTTTATCTGTTAGATTATGTAAATTTTTAAATTTAGTAATTTTAAAAAATTAAAATATATTAAACTTGGAGATGTAATTTTTTATTTACTTTCGAAATTTAATTTGTACAGTTACGCAATTTAAAATTTAAAAAAGTAACAAGAATCATAATAGTAAAATCAGAATAATAAATCATATAATTTATGATATAATAATAAATTTAATTTATGATATAATATAATATCTATGATATAATAATAAATAATTTTTAAAAGTACTGAAAATTATGATTTACGAAATTATATTAACTTTTGTAATGTTATGATTTTTATGATAATATTTATATGTTTCTATGATAATGTAAAATATACTTGTAAATATTTAGATTATCACTAATATCATCATTAGCGTCTAAATTTTTTATTGTATTCAAAATATAAATTTGAAATATAAATTTAAATATAGCGGAGAGAAATTGATAAATTAAATACTTTATAAGTAAGCTACAAATTTTTAATTTTTTTTAGATTTATATTAGTATATTTGTACATAGAAATCTGGTTATTTATTACAATCTCAATTTCATTATAAAATGATGTATAATAATTGAATATAATTAAATGTAAATAGATGTAATTTTTTATAAATTAATTGTATTTTATAAATTAATTTATTTGATTACAGATTGCCATCATCATAATATATATATTTATATATTCAAACTCAAACAATTTAATTGACAATAGAATCAGTAAGTTTAATCTTGTTTAATTTTAAATGATTAAACCGAAATTTGCCAGCGCATTTTGTTATTGTGAAATATATGTTTAAATTAAAATAAATTAACTTTGTAATTTATAGTATGTTATAAAAATTTATTATGCAACGTAACAAATTATGATACAATTAGATGAATAAAATTCAAAATCATTTTTAAAATTATTGGAAATCTGAAACACATACACACACACACACACACACACACACATGTGCCGTAAAATTTTTATATCTAATATATATTTTCAATAACTTATTTTATTAATTTATAAAATTGAAAGATTAAAAGTTTTTTGTATTTTCTAATTCAAATAATAAGTTGATTATTAATCTTAGTATAATCGAAGTATAAAATACAAATTTTTATATGCTTCGTTCAAATAGAAAATACAAAATGCAATTGTCTTACAAATACTATTTTTCAAATATCCAGCTCTAAATACATTAACATTTCATTGATGACAGCTAAAAAATTAGTTAAAACATATAAATATTACTATTTTCTTTATATAAAAAAATTACAATGACTATTTCAAGCCATTATGAAATCTTATTATAAAAACATATAGCCTTTGTAGCACAAAATTGTTAGCTAATAAATATTTCTTAATTTAATGCTTTTTTTTTAAATCTCATTTAGGATTATATTTTCTAAAAATAATGCTAGGACTTTTCTTTAGAATATATTTCTATAATTTCATAATTCAAATTAAAAAGAGTATTTAAAACAGATTAGAATATTTGGCATCATTTGCAACTATTATCTAAAAAATCATTAATGATAAATAGTCTGACGTTTTTATAATTCTAATTTAAACTGTAAAATATTCACGCATCAATGATCATGCTCTGGCCCTATTTAGTTTGCTATGATATATTGACATATTTTTGTAATCAAGCAGTAACAGCTTGTTATGATTAAATATATTCTAAAAGACTTTTAATCTGTACAAATAATCTTTCTATATTGAGAACCGAATTTGAGGCACCAAGTTCAGAATATCAATCTGAAATTTTTCCAGAACTGAAAAAAACTACATCACTCGTATTATTTTAGAAAATATGATTAAGCCTGCGACTTTTCATATAATCTAAAAATTATTTATAATTTAATTTTTAAAAATTTTCTATTATTAAATTACGTTATTGAAGATATAACAGCGTAATTACGGAAAAATGTACTGTATTGAAAATTTTTAAAAAAGTTATTCTAAGTAATGCTATTTGAAATATATAGAACTTTATTTTTTTATATAAATATAGACAGATGATCTCAGATGAAATCTTTTAATATAAAATATATCTCAAAGTAATATTATTTTTATTATTTTATAAATATCTAGATCATATTCTTTCCTGACATTATACTTGTAATCTTTTCTCTTATTTTTTGCTAATTAGAAAATATTAATATGTATTTAAAAAATATATTTATTTGCACTAGGCTCTACTTATTCTAAGATCGGCCCTGCTTGGAATGAAATTATAAAATCAGAATTGAGCGCTGTAATAGATATTTGTATTTTGAACGTCGATGTGTGTACTTCTTCTGAAAGTGAACAAAGTCACTTTCAACGGATTCTTTAAACTGAAAGGAACATCAATATTCGTTTCAACAGCAGATTTTTATTTCTGAACGTTCTAATAAAACTCTGTTAAAGGAAGTGTTTCAGAAGAAGTGTTTCGGAAATTTAATCGTCTTTTCTACTTTAAAAGTGAGTAGAATGTGCTATTAAATTTTATTTTATTTCAAAGATATTCTTTATAATAATTTGAATTTTCCAGTTAAATTAAACTTATTGTCATGATTTGTCGGATTTTTAAAATCAAAATAAGAACTTCTTAAAGTAATACGACGCTAAAATCGCATTATTCAATATCCGCGATACTCGTTTATTAACGTTAATTATATCATCTAAAATGCAATTATTAAGCTCATCTCCTTGTTTATCCAATACACATAGCGGTTACCGAAATCCTATTCTGACTCTCTGTGTATATATATATATATATACATACGGGGGAGTGCGGTCAGACTCCTGGAATTCCTCCTTAGCCATACATCCCTTCCAATAAGCTGGCATCGGAACGCGGAGCCGCATCCCCTTCAGAATATTGATTAGCCATCATTTTCAGATGACGCCTACGTTCTGTTGGATATTCCTGTTGGTGTTGGCGTTGGTGGGCCGCGCTGCGAGCGTAGCAAGACCTCTCACGGTCGACGCTTGCGCCCTGCTCTGCAATCCCGGGGCAGAGACTGAGTCCGAGCGAGAGAGGGATGTGCGCCTATTTCCCCGATATCCCAAGGTAAACTGCAAGCTCCAGTCCCTCAACGACGAGCACCAGACGGTTGCTATTATGAGCCACTGTTTGAAACTGTGCTCTTACGAACTATCAATCGCGTCGGAAGTCAATTGTTTTGCTCTAAGATCATCCCTCCAAGCAAGTATAGGATGTTATTGTGATGCTTTAACACCTTTGAGTCCGAACACTATACGCCTTCACGAAACTTGGCGGCTCAACTTTTTGGTAAAGGAATTGGCGAACGATATCATGACTACGATTCTCAAGTCACCTCTCGACGTAATCATCCTATGCGAGATCCGTCAAGAACTGTTCAAAGACGCCAACATATTATATGGACAGTTGCGAGAAGCATGTTTAAATCCAGATAATTCATACTCAGATGACTCATCTCGATCAAAACGAAATATCGAAGAGAGTGAGATTGATGAATTCGACGATGACGACGATACTGTGGAACTGGTTGGAGATATACAGGAGGATGAGGACATAAAGTCGGTACCACGACATCACTACGAGGAGAAACGTGATTTGCCACTTTCCGAAAATCTAGACTTGTCCAGGGAACAGACTGCTGAAGATTCCTTCTATCAAGATCAGGACAACCCAACATTAGGTGAACATAGTGAAAACAATCCAAATTGTCATGCAGAAACGTGCGATTTATAAAGAAGTCTGTCAATGTTAAATGAGTTAAAAAACTGAATAATTATAAAACATACATAGACAAAAATAACAGACAGGAGAGAGAGTTTGAGTGAAGACCATGAATTTTCATATCTTGTATAGATCGTCAGTTTATAATTAATTTATTACGCAAAAGTGTTTCTCGTCATAATCAGAGAGACGTAAAATAGAAGTAATCTGAAGCATATATGATTTTCTTTTCAATTTTGTTATTCAAATTAATTTTTGTCCCAGTTTAACGTATAATAATAATTGTAATACGTAAGAGAAATTAACAAATTTTTTTTTTGGATAATTAACAATTTGTTATCTATTGTAATATATTGTTACATGCGTAATCCTAAAAATTACATAATATTATTGTTAGACTAATAATTCAAGCGCTATATAAAAATATTAATTTGTTTATTCCACATAATGTTCCATTTATAAATAGAATTGTCTTTAGAATAGAGTTATCTTTTTATATTTTTAATATATCTTTTATATATACTTTTGTATTCTTCTATTTTTATATGTATTTATATTTTTACACATATTTATATTTATTTGTCGATTTTTACTCTCATTTTTATACAGTCTGTACAAAAAGTTTAATGAAAAATATAAAAGTAAAATAAATTATTACAGAAGAACTGAGAAAGTTAGTGGCTAATACTTGCCACGTATTAATATAATTACGTGTAAAATAATATAATCACGAAGTACTAAGTTAATGATTAATATAAATGATAAGATTTTTCACTTAATGTTTAATATTGTAATCGCTTTAGGCCTAAGACAGTTCTACACAGGTCCAGTTCACACGAAGTTGCATTATATTTTCTATTTTGATTCAGAAAATATGATGGAATTTTTGGAATTTTCATCGATTTCGCGTGATTTGATTGATACACAATCCTTTTAAATATTTCAGATAATATGTAATTTTCCAAAGGAATCTAATGCAATGAAACATGATCACTATGAAAATGTACAATTAAATGCATTTCATTCGATTTAATTACTATTACAACAGTTAAGAAAAATTTAAAATTAAAAACTAATAATGTATCCTAACAGATATTATTATTACGTTTTTACAATATCATATTCTATAATATATCGTAAACATTGCCTTTTTATCCTACTGAGTATAATATGTAATTTAAATAAAAATATTTTTGTATATCTTTTATGTTTCTCATATATTAATCTTATAAAAATATTCTAATAACAAATAATCTTTTCCTAATCGATAATTATAAATGGAAGATGGAAATTTGTTCCCTAATAGATAATCTTTATTAAACAGTAAGAAACAGTAAGAATTTGATGAAGTTAATCATTTCAAATTTATTAATTACGTGTTAAAAATTGTTATTTTTCATTAAAGCAAATTAATTATATCTATATATACGTCTATGTTAAAATATATCTATAATAAACATTTAATCAAAAGGCTTGCGACGTGTGAGCAGGACATCGATGTGTGATATGTGTATTATGCAATAAATTCTATTTATATGCGCGCACGATATGCACGTGCATTCTCGCGCTAATTATAGTTTATATAAAGCAATTAATAATTTTTATACAACGATAGAATATATACAATATCTAAATAAGCAAACGAAACAAAATCCACGTCTTCCACACTTTGTAGTTAAATTACTGTTTCTTGGCAACGGCTTTATATGATATTACTTAAACAATAAATGTATACTGATAAAGCGCAGATAATTTACTCGTTGTTTAGTGCGATAAGTCTTGGCCGGCATCAATACGTCGTCGATTGTCATCGACTGTGCGCTTACAATCGGAAAACTATTAACCTTGTAAAATAAATAATTATTTGTATTGATAGTACAGCGAGTAATTGACGGCGTTTGTTTATCGTGCCAGATTAAGAAGAAAAAGTTGTGACGCGACAATAAGACGTAGACCCTAATATGCCTATACGATGTATTTTAAATCGTATCGCGCTCTCGGTTTTCAATCGATAAACACACATTTTAGCTCTGAGAATTTTTTAATAGCAGACAAATGAAGAGAACGAGAATAATAGAATAATAAAATTAAATAGAATGTTATTTGTTGAATGTCTAAGAAGAATGTTATAAATGTAATTTAATTATGTACATATAATAATACTGAAAAATCGATTGATCATCGAGAGCGTGATTAAATTTGGCTCTAATAATTGATTATCTTATACTATAATGTATATGTAATTATTTATATAATTACTTAATTGTATATATACGTATATTAATTATATTTATATAAATATTCGTATTAGTCTATTATTACTCTATTGCATATATATTGTAGTAACATAAAAGAAAGATACAATGTTATCGTATTAACCTTCTCTCATATTTTTATCCATGTATATTATAATTATATAATCTGCAACAATCACTTTTTGTAACTAACATGTGATATAGCATTATACGAAACGCTATTATCTTAAAAAATTTTCAAATTAAATAAAGTAACTGCTTAAAACATTCATGCATTGACTCATGCGAATAATTCAACTCCTTTTAAAACACAACCTTTTTAATTATATTTATATTAATCATGTCGATATTATTAATTATATGCATATATGTCGTAAAAGTTTAATGTATATACTTAATTATGTAATAATAAATATGTTGTTTATAATAACAAAATTGAAAAATTCTGTTATTATTTTAATATTATTACCTTTTTTAACAAAAATTGAAGTTTCTTGTGATTAATAATATAACAAATTTGCGACAATGTTAATTTGAAAAATAATCTTCTTTAAATAAATAATCTTTTTTGTTTATAATGAAAAATTAATATTGAAAAATTAATATTGAAAGTTCTGATTATTATATCATATGCTGAAAATATAGTGAAGCCTTTTATCGACCGATGCGATGAGAATATCATACTTAGAAAAAGTAACAGTACTTTGTCGATGATAACTTATCTGTGATGAAAGGTATAAGTCCTTTCCTAAGACTTTCAAATTAGATCACTAACTGAGAAGAGATGTTATATTGACAGTAGATATAGATACTATTTTAATACCATTTATTGGTATTATTTAAAAAATTAAATTTTAAAGGAAGAATTTTATTTATCCAACTGTCTATTCTACTCTAATCAATAATTTGTTTTATTCTTTTTATCAAAATTATATATATACCTAGAAGATAATTTTTTTAAACAATAGTTCTAACAATTTGGAATTCTTCATATTTCCTTTAATTAACATATTAACATATTTCATATTAGATGTCGATGTTAAAAAAAATTAAATATTAGAAAATTACTTTTTTAATAAACATATTGTTTAAACTTTCTTATAAATAATAAAAGGACTATACTTTTTATTATCCTAAAGTTCATAAGTAATAAAATAATAAAATTTAAATTTCTGTTAATAATATACTTTACAATAAAGTATTTTAATATAATTGTTTAATAAAAACCGTAGTATTAAATAAAAGTAGATATTAATCTTAAATTATGATACTTTATTAAGTTTTTTCGCGATATATGATCTATGTAATACGTTCGGAACATCTTTATTTCCCTAAAGTAAAAGGCAATCAGGATGGTCTTTAATCACATTACATTTTCTGATAGCTTATTATCTTTTTCACACACTACATTCTCCTAGAACATAGACTACTCTCTTATAAAAGCCGTTTCAACCATCGAAGAGACATCAGTCGAGTATCGTCTCTCGGATACATCCCGTTCATTCAGGTGAAAACGTCATTTTTAATTATAATAATTATAAACAAATATAAATTTATATAGTCTTTCTTATTTTCACATTACATATGTATTTTCTTCCTCTATATATAGAGTTTCTTAATACTTGAACGAATCTATCATTTCACATACTAAAGTATTTGTGATTTTTCAATAATTTTTCAATTGCATAGCGTGACTTTGTGCTATTTTTATACACAATTGATCGTCGTCAGTTATTACGAATTTTGATATTTTATGATAAATCAATACCCTCTTGGACGAACTTCTGACGTTACTTACAAATAATGTAGGTCGACTGCATTTGATAGAGACATTTGTCTTCGAATCATTTCCCCGAGTATAAAAGCTCACAGCTTTGCGTCGTTCTTAACATTCAGCGTCCGAATCTCCTAAGAATCACGCAAGCTCTTTTCGTTTTTTCAAAGAGTAAGTTTTTTTCGTTCTATATTGAATTTTATTTATTATAAACTTTTTTAAAATTTATTATTATTGTTTATTTCTAATTATTAAACTGATGATTTATTTATGACAGTAAATAAAATGAGATAATAATTTTAAAAAATTGTTATTATAAATATTCACTAAATTCTTTATTTTTTATTTTAGACGAAAATAAATCAACGCATCGACATGGTTTCCATTCGCCTTATCCTGACTCTCGCTGTTATCATGGTAGCCTTCGTCATCAGTGCAAACGCTGCCTATAAAAAACCACCTTTCAACGGTAGCATATTCGGCAAACGATCTAACACTGTGACTGGTAAGTACTTTTATAAAATATTTATAACAAAATTTAATTTTATAAAGAAAAGGCCAATTTTAAAGCTTGAAATAAAATTATGTTAAACTTTAATATTTACCATAAATAGATAATTAACTCCATTTGTTAAATGGTTCATATGTTTCATGCATTAGAACATCAATTAATATATTTTTATTATATAGCATATTATATATATAAAATACTTAAATCAAATCTATATTTTCTGTGCTTCAAACTTTCATCGGTCTACGTTCCTTTTTACGTTAAAAATTATTCAAAGAATTTTATCTTAAAATACTTTTCGCTTACAAATAACTACAGTTCACAGAATTTTATTGCATCAATTTATATTGAGACTGATTATTTTTTCTTATTTTCCAAAAGATAATCAATAAATTGTTTTTCTTTTCAGATTATGAAGTTACCAGCCGCGCTTTATCAGCGATTTGCGAAGTCGCCAGTGAAACCTGTACCGCTTGGCTGTCTCATCAAGAATCCAACTGAAGATGAAAAACCGACCGAGACAATCCATGATTCTCGCCAATTAATCGATTCATGAAACAATGTAACTAACCGACTCCTGTAAAGTACCTACAATCATGCGCTTGAAAATTCGTCACATTGTCTTCTATCAATAATCGTTTCATTAAATGTCATATATTTAATCGTAACTTTATACATAAACAACAATATTGTAATTACGATGGTTTAAGCTTTCACGATCTAGCTTTATTTATCAAAAGTATCCCAAATAAAGGATTATGATTTCAAGAGCTAATTAGTATTTTAATTATTTTTACCTACTATTTTTCATTATATAAAAAAAAGATATAAAAAAATTAATTAACCCTCAGCAGACAACTAAAATCTTTAAAAACATCATTAATACTTGGGTAGTTAAATTTAAGTTTATAAAAAAAAAAATAAAATACAGTCCGGCTTCCAAGATGATAAAAACTCGTTGTTTTGACAAATAAACTAGAATTTCTTCAGATTTTTTTATTCTAAACAATAAAAAATTTTACTGTTTCTCAAAAACTCTTATTCCTGACGAAAGAGTTAAAATTTATGTTACCGATTTTATATTAAAAGTTTAATATATATTTTATATATATATATATATATTTATTTATTTATTTATTTATTTTATCATACTAACTATAATAACTATTTATCTTTATTTTCATTTAAGTTATTACACAATAATATTGCGACAATTTTTTAAACAATTATATAATAAAATAATTATCAATTAAAACTTTCAAAATAGTTTAATGCCTAAAGTAATAAAGCACGTATTTAACGAAATGTTTAATTTGAGTAATTTGAATAATTATAAGAGTTCATTGCAATTCAGTTAAATATAAATTAGAAGCAATTTGATATGGAAAGCACGTACCATTCACCTGCTTGAATAAGGGTTATTGTCTATTGTCTACTGCTGAAAAAACATGCAATACGAAGCAATCGCAAAAGTATTGACATATATTTGATTTTCTCACTTTATAAATATATGTACAATATTTTATGTACATAAATATTCTACTATATATAAGTATTCAACTGCAGTAGCAAAATCGTGTTGATAAAGAAATTTTACTTTTACAATATTAAATTTTATTTTCAAGTATTAATAGCAATAATCATATTCTGCGGCAAATTGGTTGTATGTAAAAATTGCATCGTGTTAAAATGCACAAAAATGGCTTTTCTTTTAGAATTTGTTAAGAATTTATGTCAAATTAAAGTATGAGATATTTCACTTGTGGACGATAAATATTCCGCTGATAAAAGCTAGCCGAGAAATTTATTCTCGGTACTGTTAAAGACAAACACATTGGTGTTAATTTACAAGACGTACATGAACTAAATATTTAATTACTCTTTAATCAAGTATAAATACACTGGGCCCCCCTAATGGAATTAAGTTCATTGTATTCAGTTTATCTTCAGGTAAGGAAATATTATTCGTTATTATTCGTTATTATAAATCTATCTTTCTATTAAATTTCGATTTTTATAAAAAATCTCTAGTTCTTATCATTATATTTCCGTGATATTAAATTAGAATAACCAATATCTTTCTTATGGTTCTCAAAGAGAAGAGCAAATATCATATCTCTGAATATATAATATATGCTTTTTACAGAATTTTGAAGTAAATCGTTTAACAGTTAAAATAGATATTTTTATTCGTAGCGCTTGTAACTAAAATAGTTATTATTATGTATGTTTAATTAACTATCTGAAATAACAATTATTTAAAAAATTATTTTTAAGATCAAGATTATTCCATAGATTAATTTTCAGTGCCGTTGCCTTCTATTATGCGAAAAAAATTAAGTATCTACATATATATAGAACTTCCAATTTCTTACTGAAGACGTTCGATCGCGCGTTGGCGATTACGGAAATTCTTTATTTACTTCTATTCACGCAATTGCATAGCGTCAAACATTTCCCGTAACATCTTACGAGACATCAGTTCTATAGAATGCATTTTACTCGGACGGGTGCGCGATTGAATATTTCTGTGCATGTTACGCGAACGAGGACAAACAGTCAGCGTGATTCAAATACGATGAGGTTTCACGACGTGCAAACTTCTCGTCGATTCTCCTTCGCCCACAATCCTTGAGCACTCCGGTCCACTCTTCGCGATAATGGAAAAAGCCATACGTACGCGAAAAATCGCTCAGTGTTCGCCGAATGCCCGCGAGACACGCATCCTTTTCGCAAGAATCGGCAGATTTCTATGGCAGTTATTTATGTGTCGACCGCGATCGAGAATGCCACGTCAATTGAAACACGTTCACCTGTTAAATTAATTGTTGCGTCTGATTCTAAGGCGTGTAATCGATGTGATGTGCAAAGGGTGAAGTTGCTCTTGAAGACTGAACTACATTTGATTCATTATAGGCACTGAACTGTTACTTTCTCGAAATGATGCTGCAGAGGGTATGTGCTCGACGGATCGGAGGTGTCTTTTTTAATGGTAAATTAAATAATATCTTTATATATCGTATAAATTTGCAAAGATGATGTATGTTTAGTGCTTGTCTAATTATAAATCTAAAGAATAATGCCTTGTCTATTTAAATATTAAAATGTTCAATATTATTTTTTGTGCAATGAATATTCAGCTTTTCTCGTTGGAGCCGTCATAATGCCGTTATTAATATGTGAAAATACAATTGCGGAAGAAGTGCCAGCATTCTTCTTGAAAATCGCCAAAATACCAACTTTGCCGAGAGTAGGTCGAAGCGGAAGATTTGAAGATTTTTTTTATAAAGCTGAAAAGCATATACCCCGAATTGGTAGAAGCAATCAACACAAACAGGTATCTAATTATTGGAACTAACGTAATTATTGCAATTTTTTGTATTATTGTATATATTTGTGTTATTGTATATTTTTAAGATATCATTTATGTAATAATTATTATATAATAATTATACTAAATAATACTTAAATTGCATTTTTTAAGTCAAACAACCCTCTATTGCTGCAAGACGAACAAGAAACTTATTCCGATTTAACTAAAAGGCGCATAGATTATCCTTCAAAAGGTTAGCAATTCCATTGATATATTTCTTCGTATTATATCTAATTGAATAATCCTACGCCTTGTTTTTTCTAAAAAAAATATTTAATTTGTTAATTAATATAATTTAATACTTAAAAAATATTATAATTAATTAGAATATACATATGTGTATATATATATATTTTTTTTATGAGATTGAGATGTTTGAAACATGCTTTTACAAATTATTGAGTTTTATGTAATAATTTTGAAACTTTTTAATAATTATTTAATTAATTTAAGCATCGAAAATGAAGTGTGGCAGAGGGAGAAAAGGACTGGAACAGCAATTACACAAGCAAAATAACAAAAATCCAGAAATTATTTGTCGTTTTGGAGAAGTTAAATAATATATGGCTTTTGTTATTATATGGTGACGGGAAATAATTAAAATCAATAAATACGTAAATATTAAGTGGCTTCATCCTTTTTCAATTTTTTTGCACCAAAGAGATTTCAATAAATAATCAATCTTTTAAACTAATTGTAACATTTAATTTGTTTCAAGTTACAATAATATACAATGTATTAGCAAAATTTGACAATTTGTAGAAAATATACTAATTGTCTAGAATGCAGATTAATAATATTGTACATTTCATAATCAAACAATTTTTCTGATTGTTTTTATCAATGTGAGAATATTTATCTGAAGACAATGTGAAATTTGAAAAATTTTATTTTTCCTTCTCTTGTTCCTATAGTATCCCAAATAAAAAAACCTAATACAATTTTTCATTACAATTAATTCTGTAGTATATTATGTTTTTTATATATTACTTTTTGTATTATTAGCATATTATATATCTTATGTACAAAAAGACAATTTATTTTAAATGTATTATAATTAATACCTTTAATTTTATACTTCGTTTAATAAAATCTTTGGCATTTAGATTAAGATTTTTACCTATCATAATTTATGATAAATATAACATAAATATATAATATTATAACATTATAAATATAAAATATAATATAAATATAATATAAATATAATATTATTAACAAAGAAGTAATAAAGTAAAATTAATTAACTCTAAAAAAAATAAAGAAAAAATATCTGCGGGCCTAATACAATAACATATACTAACATCGAAATTATAAACTAAGATAGAAACAGTTGCAAAAATTGCAGAGAAAATTTTTTGCCATCCCCTCCTTCTATATGCATTTTGCTTAATCTGATACACTGTGTTTTTACAAACGTTTGTAATTTCCACGACTTATGGAAAATTGCCGACGCAATCGAACCCATACTTATAAGAGACCAACTTTTTCGATGCATGGCAACTTGCACGACAGTTGTTCGCTGAAATTGCATATGCGAATCCCCTTACCTTCGCGTCAGTCGTGCGACAAATAACAATATTCTATAACATTCCCGAAAACGTGTATGTAACAACTGAAAATACGACGTAATATTTAGGTTGAGTTCCATTTACACTCACAATACTCGTGAAATTATTCCTTATTGTTTAGCAAATGTTAAACAAAGATAAATGATGTTTGCGAGCGTTGTGAGCGTCAAATGGAACGCATCCTTTAGTAAAGAAAAGTATAGCTGTATATACATAAATGCATATTCCTCGACAAATAATTTCAAGACGCACTGCACGTAACACCGCGAGGCATCGTTTAATGTGATGAGTACGAGATGTTGATGAGCAACGACAGATACTGATAAATAGGAAAATGATAGGCAATTCATAGACAAAATATAGTTTTCGTTATAATAAATGCGTGGTGACCTCCGGTTATCACGATCGTGAGCATCGTTTCTTATTGGAAACAACTTAGACTTTGTACAAGGTGAAAACGGTTATCATTAATGAGAGAGCAAAATCCTGGGCATGTGATCATTTCTCATGACATGAGATATTCAAGCGTAGGTGGACTGAATTGTGATAAGGAATCGATTTAATACCTGCAAAGAGAGAAGCTTGAGAATGGACGTGCACGAGTCTTAAATGGAATTTATTTATTAGAATATCTATATCCACAACACATGCACGTTAACTTGTATAGTTATGGATATGTCTGGAGGATAAACATGGACATATCTAAAGAGTAACAAATCTATGATTTCCGATTTTCTTCCGTGTTATTTATATAATTTTATTCCGTAATTTGTCCACAAATTATTGGTAATTGCGTAAAAACTAAATTATAAAAATAAAAATTATAAATTAATATAAAATAATCCAAACCATTTAAAGAATATAAAAAATTATCAAGTGTTTTAATATCTTAAAATTATTCTTAGTATAATTATTAATATAGCGTTTCTATGGAAAACACATATTAAAAGCAATTTTTTACACGATTACTTTTTATTGTAAACGCAAACGTAAATAGAAATTATAAAATATTTAATTAAAGACTCCCACGCGATTTTAAACTTTTAGTAAATATTTTTATAAAAATTAATCTTATATAGAACATTTGAATTTTTTGGCTGTCAATTGCAACTTGTCGATCAATTTAAAGTTTTGAGAAACAAATACAAACCGTTAATTGCAACTTGTTAATCAATCGAGAGACACAGTAATGTCTCTGATGTCAAATTAACCAATTAGTTTAAAATTATGGACATCGAGTATATAATATATCGAGGTGAATCAAGTCCATGGAATACAGGACAGATTGCACGCATAATTTTTAATTGTAACAGATTTTATTCGATCTAAAATTATTTTGAAGCGTTAAATAATTTGTGATTGTTTCAATAAAAAGCTGACTTTATTTGTTTTTTTTATAAATATATTTTCATCAAAGGTATCTCTGGATTACATTTAATATCTATTCTATTTAAAGACTATTAATATAAATACATACGATCTTTTTTTATGAACTGATTATACTATTTGTGAATCATGAGAAATAGAATTTAAACTGCATCTCTGAAGACAAATTTTGTCTGAATATTCTTCAGTTAAATTATAATTCCAATTATTATTATTGCGAATATTTCATATTTTTAATATCTTTTTTAAATTTAAATTATTTTAATTTTCAATTATTTTTGTATTGCACTGTTCAACAATATTACGTAATTGTATATTGTACAAACAGAGAACAAATTTAAAGATTGTGGATATGTTACCTGCCGGAATATCCGTGGCTACATAGTTCTCTATGTACACGTTTTGTAAGGCGCCAGTAAACAGGTTCCATTTGAAACATGTTCACTCTAAAGCCGGTATTTAATCGCATTTTATATTCAAGATCGTACAAGATCTTAAGTACGATCTTAAGAAGTCACGAAACCAATCAGAAGGCTGCATCAGCGTCTTAAGACATTACTTAAGACGGTCTTGAAATAAGACTCGACTATGAATACCGGCCTAGGCTTCCCTCTATATGCACAGAGACGCCAGTAAACAGGTCTTATCTAAAACGTGGGTTTATTCTCAGACTTCTCTTTGAGATCACTGGATAAATGTTTGTCACATTTCGCTGTCGATAAAATCTCTTGCGATTCTTGTATCATGTAAAGATTAATAGCCTCAGCCTCAAGCCAGATTTTTCTCTGGAAATGTTAGATTCCTTTTCTGGAAATGTTTCTTTTTAGTGCATTTTGTGTTAGTTTGATAAAAAATTATTTTACTTTGAAACACAGATTATTTAAATTTATCACAAATTTATAAAATTCAATATTCATATCTTTTTAACTTTTATATTTATGTTTTGATATAATTTTTTCTAAGCAGAACATAAATTGTTATGATATCAAAATGACATTAAAATGACTACAAATTGATTACTGAAAGTTACTTTTAGTCACATTTAGTTTAACATCAATTTGACGTTGTCGTGACTTATTGTTCTGTTTGGGTATTTTTCTCATTTTGTAACATTTTCTGTTAAAATGGATTAGATAATAATATCGTAAAATATTAACCCGTGTAAATGTAATTAATGCAAGTATTTGTTTAAATTTACAATATAAAAATATTTTTTTATTTTAAAATATCGATGTACAGAAACGGAATTATAGAGTATCCCATATTGGAGCCCAAGATGTCGCCAGTTAGATCATTTGAGGTACATGTCTGAAAAAGACATCGCTAGATAGCGCCATCGATCCATTGAACACCAATATTCTGCGCCATTGCCTGTACCCCGTAACAATAAACTGTTGTAATTACAATAATTCTTGCCTTTAAAGCGATGCTTTGTGTTCAAGTCTCGTCTCACCGCAACTAGTAATTTTAATTCATTATGCAGTAACCGCGAAGCTATTCACTCTCTTACCATGATAACCTAAATCTCAACATGAGGTGGGAGGATGAGATATTGGAAAGAATCTTTCTTTTTCTTCCGTTATATTTCTTATAATTTATTTCTATTATATATATGCATATTCAATAATTAAATTGTATTTTTATATTTATAGACTTTTATTTGCGTTGAATATAAATCATTTTCTATAGACCAATGAATTAAGAAAAGTTTCGAATACAAGGGATATAAGTATATCTTATAGCTTCACTTTTTTAGTTAAATATAACTAAGCATGTATAGTTCTGTTTACTTTTTAAGATAAGTATAGCTTTTAGCTACAATGATTTTGTGATTTAATACAAGTATAGGTTCGTTTATCTCTATAACAGGTAATACCTACTAGTTATTCAGTTGTAAGAAGATGCAGATTATCTTCAATATATAATTTCAATCTGAAGAAAGTTTTATCAACTTATACAATCTGTATATATAAAAAACATCTCATTTTCCAGAATATTAGCGGTAATAAATAAAAAAGGTAGAAAAAATTAATTTCTGAACGTAGTGACCTTTGCATTTTCCACCATACGATGAAATAAGTATTACTCAATAGCAATAATTAGTTCATAATGGATATGTAATTCTCAAAGTAATCCCTCTCGATTAAACTGCGCATCAATATCCCTTAGAACTGCTACCATGCATGGTAACTTTCCAAATAATTATTACGTGCATTATTTAAATCAGCTAATTAGTTATTG